ACGCTAAATGGCATTCTTGGTAATCACTCGCAACTTCCTGAAGATGGCCGACTGTTTTCATTTCTTTCAGAAATCGGATTTCGCTCTATACACTTACCTCGCAAGTAAATGACTACGTTATGGGCGCAATATTACCTATGCAGTCGGCAAGCCCGAAACCCTAATTAACAAGAACAATGCCTGAAGGCCGCAACAGGAGCAAACCACCTGCAGGTCTCGCCACACGGTCTGAATTGGTTGACAGTAAGCGTTGATGTGTGTTGCTCCTGATCTATATCTTAGGCCATGCCAAATGCACATATATCCACATGCATAGCAGGAAGAGGGGTGGCGTCCTTCCGAAGTCTGCTTTTCTTCCAGACGTCAGCGGACCGGCAAACAGAGACAGTGATGGCTAATCCCTGATGTATACACGCACCACACTGTCTACCCTAAACATCGCAAGAACAAGCTGTAAACACATGCAATGATCACGGAATACCAGGCATGTGTGGTCTTTGCCACTACGCGTGTCCGAACCACCTGGCGGTGTCCCGCTTGTCACAGCTTCAATCTCGCGCCACTACAGTACCACTGGGCCTACTGACCGCTCCGCACGCTCCACATGCATTCGTGTCCACAGTGACGCGCCGACTGCCACTGCCAGAGGCCTCCACGTGCTTCGATGACGTGGTCCGATCACCCGACCATGACCTCGTCCTTACGATCTCGAGTTCACGACCACACGCTCCGGTCAGGGAAACACATGGCTAATGGTCATGACAAGCACAGAGGCATAACCAGTGTGCTCTTCATTTTTCTTAATTGTGATCAACTTCTCTCGTCGTTCTTGCGGCCATAAGAACAGCTATGGACGGTTACAGATCGGTGAGAAACCAAGCAGGAGTGGGGGAGGGGGAGGCAACGGGATTTATGCAATATGCAAATCCTTTCGACGCGGGGCTTGTGACCCCTTTTCAAAGAACGGGACTTTAGTAGCATAAGAGAGTACATGCTCAATCAAGCGAAGTGCCAATACACTGGCAATGCTAGATAGCTAATGCACTCACTCTCGCTATCGACATGTTTTCAACTGTGTCCCAATAACTCACTTGCTCAAGACCATGCCCACAAAAAGCCTGCATTTCCATTGCCATGGAAAATAGAGAAATATCCAGTATCGCTGACCTCCACTCGTACGCCAATTGTATCACCCGCCGCCGCCCCATCACATCAAGTGGTCTCGAGGAGACCACCGGCGGCCGGTGATCAACCATCTGTAAGACAAGTCAAGAAATCGTGTCCCAGCGACGTGTTGGGAAAGACTAGATTTGCAATGTCACATTGCGGTACAGCGTGCCGTCTCAAATAAATGTTTGCTATCTCTGCTCACTGTAAGGCCCACGTCTATGATGGATGTGCGTACATGTGGGCGTTTAGTGGAATTGAGCGCGCCAGGGAATGTCTAGGCGATTCACTTACTACCATGGGCTTTACGTGTGCCGAGCACTCAGCCCACAATATCGGAAATGGCGTAATCCTGAAATAATCATTGCCCTACTCAAGGTCAGTGAAAATTTCAGGCATCATGAGTAATCCATCAACTTATCTTTCTCGGCAATCATTAACGTTTCAATTTGTTATTGACGCAAACAATTTGCTTGTAGGCATTCCGTGAGACGGCGGAAAGGCGTTGGGTATTTCAAGGCGCACCTAACTTCGGCTTTACCTTAGGTAACGTTATGAACGATGCTTCCTTGATTGCGGCATGACACGTTACAAAAGCACGTTGCAAGACGTGCAAGACACGCCGTCTCTGTGCCTTCGAGATGGTGCGTCTTCTCTCAGTGGTAACAAAGGGCGCTGTTCTGGACACTGTATGCCAAGCAGTCGGTCCGACGGCCGCCCTCGCGCCGGGCCGTCTCACCGCTGCCTCCTGCGCTCCGGTCCTCCAGCATGCCGCCCTGGCCGGGCTTCATGCGGGACGGCGCGCCGGCAGCCGGTGACGGCGGCCACTGGCCCGCCGATCCCGCACCGGCCCGCCCCATTTCCCAGGTGCTCGCCGGCGCCGGAAGGGCTGCGTAAATCCGCGCGCGCCCGACGAAAGGGGCCACCTAACGATCGGCGGGCTCCTGGACCGGCGCTTCGGCCACGGGCGGCGTGATTTAGAGCGCTGCCATGCCTGAAAGGTCAAACTGAGCTTGCAGGTTGTGACCAGCGGCTGATTTCGGAACGTGCAGTGCAGTGCTCAGTGTTACATCCTCAGTTTATGCCCATGTGCTTCTCGCAAAAATGCAAATGGTTTGGACGACTCCTAGTTAAAGGGATGTGGATTCGTGACATGACGCGCTGTCGCATCAGTCATGTCCAAGTGGAAATGCCTGTGTTGACGAATCAGTAGGATGTTTGATTAATGGGGAGCTGCTTACACCACCTGTGGCTGAGACGATGCTTCTCTAAAGTACATCTCCGACACTCCTTGCCGTAGCGCAAGTCTGATCGGATCACGTCGCTTCTGTTTTTTTCGATAACAGATAGTCGTGAGATTGCTGTGGGAATTAATAAAACGGTCCAATCTTATGGGGCCCGCCGGGGGAGATGATAGTGAAGCGAGAGTGAGCCAGGCCGGTCTCGGCCTCAGGCTGGTGCCGGATCGGCCGCTGGTGCCATCAGCCGAGCGCGCTCGAAGGTCGGCCAGCCGCAGAGACGCGGGGACAGACTGGTGTCGGAGCGGCCGCTGGTGCCATCAGCCGAGCTCGGTCGAAGGTGGGCCAGCCGCAGAGACGCGGGCACAGACTCGTCGGTTCATCAGTGCTGACTGAGACGACCCCTGCACTGCAAATGGACTGAACCCGGACAAAAGCTTGTATTCGTTTCTAGTGGCGGGGAGGACGAACGAGACAGCGAAGCTGTGTAGCCTGCACTTTTTCTGCTGGCCCGCCTTTCCCTTCAAGCTAATACTAGGTAACGCTAATTAGATTGGTAACACGATGATGTGTGTAGAAGAAAATAAAGATAACGTCTTGCTCAGGAAATAATGAAAAGTCTAAAAGGCGTATATATATATATATATATATATATATATATATATATACATGCGATTTCTTAGATGGCCTTCGTTCTCAGCTCCCCAAAAGTATGCCTGCTGGAGCCGTCGCGTATACAGTGGACATAGGCCAACCTGTACGGGACTATTGAAGCGGGATCCGCCGCCATCGATCTCATCAAAAGGCACCGCGGTAAAAGTAAACACATTTGGACCCAACTTCAGTAACCTCGATTTTTTTTTTTTTGATCTCACTGTCTCACAAACAACTACGTACATTTTGGTCCGCGTTATTACAAGGAGAGGGAATAGCCACGGAAATCTGTGTTGCCCCACCGCTGACCATTGTCTGTATGAGCGCAATCGAGACGATGATCTCCGCTTCTGAGCACGCCTAACTGATCACCTTCATGCGGTGTGTGGAGGTCATTATAGGAGTTTGGATGCATCGGTTGGGTCGTTATTTTAATTTTATTGACGGCTTCCACTTAGATCTTACAAATACTGGTAGTTATGATACACTAGGTGTTATGATGCATCGGGTGTCATGATATATTGGGAGTCGTGATGCGAGCGTTAGAGACGAGGTTAAGAGCGTTAGAGATTTCGATATTTTCAGCGTTATAAAACATTAGGGCTTATGATACACTAAGTGTCCTTTGACATAAGGTTTATGATTTTTGGGAGTTGCGGTGTGTACGGGGTTATGAAATATTAGGTGGTCCAATACATTAGGTGTTTTGATACATTAGGCGTCATGAAGCATTAGAGGTTTTGATACGTTAGGCGTTACCATACATTACGTTGTATCTTAATGAGCATCAGGGATTGCGAACACAAGGGCTTCCGGTACTGATCCCGACGGAGCAGCTACGGGCTGCCGGAGGTATAGTGGTTAACGCGTCTGCGCTAACCACTGTGCGTCTGGGAAACCAGAGGTACGGGGTTCGATTCCCCGCGGTGCCCGCGCTTCCTGCCAGGATGAGAGGCCGGCGACGCCATATAGCCTCAGCAGCTGAGTGCGTCGTAAAGCTCCAGTGACACACACACGGGGCAGCTGCAATCCGAGCAATGGCTTAAATAGAACAGCCATTCAAATCGAAGGGGTATCTACATAGGGTGATTCAGCAAAGTAAATATCTAATCCAAACATGCTTCAAACGATTTAAGCGGACCTTGACGCACCCATGACACCAAACTATGAGCGTTATATACACCAGTCTTCCTTTCATAGACGATACCCTGTCAAGGAAGGTATCCTCAGCAATTAAAGCATCAATGTTACCACTACACGTTGCCTGGGAGAGCGGCAAAATAGTAGCCACGCGCCTGACCACCTCAGCGATTAAAGCGTCAAGGTTACCACCACACGTTGCCTGGGAGAGCGGTAAAATAGTAGCTGCAGCGGCAAAATAGAAGCTGCGCGCCTGACCACCTCAGCGATTAAAGCGTCAAGGTTACCACCACACGTTGCCTGGGAGAGCGGCAAAATAGAAGCTGCGCGCCTGACCACCTCAGCGATTAAAGCGTCAAGGTTACCACCACACGTTGCCTGGGAGAGCGGCAAAATAGAAGCTGCGCGCCTGACCACCTCAGCGATTAAAGCGTCAAGGTTACCACCACACGTTGCCTGGGAGAGCGGTAAAATAGAAGCTGCGCGCCTGACCAACTCAGCGATTAAAGCGTCAAGGTTACCACCACACGTTGCCTGGGAGAGCGGTAAAATAGAAGCTGCGCGCCTGACCAACTCAGCGATTAAAGCGTCAAGGTTACCACCACACGTTGCCTGGGAGAGCGGTAAAATAGAAGCTGCGCGCCTGACCACCTCAGCGCGTGACCCACCACCCTGCCCAGCTGAAAAAGCTATGCAATTCCTGCATGACGGGGTTGGTGGGAAAACTCTCCCTAGCGCTCCTTCTCCGTCACGGTCGGGACAAACCAAAAAATGTTATTTCTTGATGCAAGTTTGCTCATAATGTCCATCCTGCAGGTATGTAAAGGCGTTGTTGAATTGTGATTCGCAGAATCAATCCAAATCAGAAATCGGAAACCTACACCGAACACCATGATTTCCTCCAGCGTTTTGAAACATGTCTCATAGGACACCGTCTCATAGGACACCGGACACCGTGGTGTAGTTCCTCTTAGAGTTGGTCGATATAATGCGGCCCGAGAACGGCGTGTCATGCATTTTTGTATTGCTATACTGCACGGCGTTTTTTATCTGGATGCAGTGTTTGCTTCATTTGCGCGCACTGCGATAGCTCACGGTTGAAAGATATATGTATGCACACGTGCGCGCGCACACACGCATGCACACACGCACACGCACACGCATACGCGCACACACACGCGCACACACACACACACACACACACACACACACACACACACACACACACACACACACACACACACACACACACACACACACACACACACACGCACACACGCACACACACACACACACACACACACACACACACACACACACACACACACACACACACACACACACACACACACACACGAACATATGCACACACATGCACGCACACACACACACACACACACACACACACACACACACACACACACACACACACACACACACACACACACACACACACACACACACACACACACACACACACACACACACACACACACACGCGCGCGCGCGCGCGCGCGCGCACGCACGCACAAACACCGCGTCTGTGTGTGATGCGGCCCGTCTGCGGCGGCCATCGAATATGCATGAGCGTTGGGCTCGGTCGATGCGGACACTTTAGACCAGAGCTCATTGTGCGCGTCCGACGGCTTCGAACGCCAGGCGCCGTGCGCACGTGTGATCCACGCATCCGTCGCCGGTGGGGCGTGCTCGTGCGCACGCTGCATCAGGGAGCCGTGATCAGGACGCGTCTGGAGCGCGGCCCGCGCGACGCCAGCGGGACTGCAGTCTGACGCGCTGGGCTTTGGTCGCCAGCGGGACTGCAGTCTGACGCGCTGGGCTTTGGTCGCCAGCGGGACTGAAGTCTGACGCGCTGGGCCTTGGTCGCGTGCGCCACTGGCCCTCAATGATTTGGACAAGTTTCCGCTTCTAGCCACGAATAGGCTTACCGGGCAACCAAGTGTGTCCTTCATGTGCACCCAATTATGTGTTCAGCTGTCGGTGCTTTGAAGTTGTAGTGTACTGTTTGTCTTGGTTTCGCTGAAAGGAAATGGCGAGCGGCCAGCATGAACAAAATTGTTTTCTTTCCCTATTTTGTTGGAGTTCGACGCTCAGAAAACGAAAGCAAGAAGAAGTCACATAAATATAGTTAAAAATCAAAAGTGAAAAAGGGGTGCTTTGCAAGCTCTTTGCGAGCGAGATTAAATCTGACGGTTGCTTGAAAAGTTCGGTATCCAAGTGTGTGTGTGTGTGTGTGTGTGTGTGTGTGTGTGTGTGTGTGTGTGTGTGTGTGTGTGTGTGTGTGTGTGTGTGTGTGTGTGTGTGTGTGTGTGTGTGTGTGTGTGTGTGTGTGTGTGCGTGCGTGCGTGCGTGCGTGCGTGCGTGCGTGCGTGCGCGCGTGCGTGCGGGAATGGGAATGGGCGGGTGTGCGTATGTGTGTGTATGTGTGTGTGCGTGCGTGGGCATGTGCGTGTGAGCATGCGTGAGTGAGTGAGTGCGTGCGTGCGTTCAGACTTCCGACCGTGTTGCGTCAAAGCGCGCCGACGGACCGCCACGCCGGCCGGCCCGGCGCTATCCGGTGCGTCGGCGTGGCGGACAGACCGGTGCCGGCTTTGAACCGATCGGTAGCGCGTGGCACGTGCCTCGTCCTGTCAACCTGACCTATGCACAATGTTCATCATGAGCGGCCCAACTTAAACGGAGGGTGTCGCTGGCCTTTGGCCGGTTGTCAATATGGGCCCCTAGCGGGCTGCGTGCTTTTGCGGCCGGCAGCGTATATGGTCAACAGCGTGACCTGCAGGCACGTGCAAAGATTTGGACTCGGGTTCCTCCGAGTGTGAAAAACAATGAGTTTAACGACCTAAATTCATTGTTTTGAGAAACTGTCACAGGGTTCGTTACAGGTACCTAAGTATCCAACTTACGGTTTTCGAGCCAAGGTGTACATCCGGGGTACTTGCTCAACTCTACACTCCTTTTACCTGCACCTAATAGCAGAGGCTTGGATGGCAGGGTCTGCTGCGGCGATGAGCTTCAAGATAGACGGATGGCTGGATGATCGGTTTCGATCGAGAAAAGCCGGTTTGGCGCTGTACCTCGTACATGAGGTGTGATTAAAGATTGGCATCCCTGTGCTATGTTTGCCAACCGACGTTGGGAAGTGTGAATGCTAGAACGGTGAAATTGGCGCGTTTTGACGCCACACGTCGGGAAGTCTGAATGCTCGCACCTGTGCGCGCAGGATCGTGGCGTACATGTCAGTCGATAAGCGACTGGTTGTGACGCGATAGCCACGACCTGCGGTGTGCACCAGCCAATGGGCTCCACCCCTCCCCCTCTTGCCAATGATCTCACACACCCCGCCAATGGTCTCCGCACCCCCTGCCAATGGTCTCCGCACCCCTTGCCAATGGTTTCTACACCCCTTGACAATGGTCTCCGCGCCCCCTGCGAATGATCTCCACACCTCCTGTCACTGGTCTCCGCACCCCCTGCCGATGGTCTCCGCACCCCCTGCCGATGGTCTCCGTACCCCTTGCCAATTGTTTCCGCACCTCCTGCCAACGGTCTCCGCATCCCCTGACGATGGTCTCCGCATCTCCTGCCAACGGTTTCCGCACCCCCTACGGATGGTCTCCGCACTCCCTGCCAATCTCCGCACCCGCTGTCAGTGTCGATTCCACCCCCCCCCCCCGCCAATAGTCTCCGCACCCCCGGGCAGTGTAGATTCCACAGCCCATAAGTCGGATCGAATGTTAGTGAGCTTAGGTGATCTCATGTGTGACGTGACTGCTTCTACGCAGATCATTTACGCCGTGTCGCATGGGCAACCTGTGAAATCTGGTGCAGAACAGGTGAAGTCAAGTGACTGAGCCGCCAAGTAGATTTATGTATTCGTGTCGCTGTTTATGCGTCACATCCACAAATTACAGCTGACGTGTTTAAGTATGCTACCATTTCAGTGCGTTGCCACTTGCAGGGGGTCGTCCGGGCTGACCTAAGATAATGTCATGATTTCTGGCGGGCTCGACCTAGGATGATCTCGCACCTCCGATCCTAATGATCCACGCTAATGACTGCATTGTGCAAGATTTGCTTAGGAAAGATAACATCTGCGGGACGACTTCACCGGATTTGGCCTTGACTATGCCCACTCACGTCTGTCGGTCACCTCGACACATAGTGTGAGAGGTTTGGGGACTAACGTAACGTACATCAAGAAAGGCCACGAACATTGATGAGACTCATTATGAAGCCATTTGCCGCACACTTTCAAATCAACTGCATGGGAAGATACCGTGCATACCGTCATGCTGTTAAGGCCGGACAATAGTGTGCTGTTGAGCGCCGATTCTCCACGTGTTCGCCGTGCAGACTTTCGAGAACGAGGTCATAGAGCAGTGGCTTAATACGGCAGCAGCTGGAAACCTTCCGATTACACTTGTGTGATGGAGGATCGCTCAGACCTGAAGAGTGGTATATTAACGTCCAGTCCTGATGATGATTTTCTGTCGATTCTTGGCATCCATCATGTGTTTGAGGTAGGATTACTTTCGATTATAAAACACGGCGTGATCTCTGACAGAATAAGATAGTCGTGGAATTATGGAGCAATTTCGTGAGACCTACCACACCATTATGTTTACGTACAATTACTGGCGAGCTTGTGTTCAAATCGTCGGAGATTCACTGCGATGGTGACCGCTGCGACTAAATGTATTTAGCAGTCAACCAGTTGGCATCGCTTAAACGAGCCGTGTTTTGGCCCGGATTCCGGCGTAGTTAGACGGTCAGTTGAACTGAAAAGACAAAAACACGGATACGTGTTGTGCATGTCGATCTACATTCGCCGGAACGCAAAGTTCGGGCGGCATGGGCTATCTCCGGTGGAGTGTTTAAAAAAATGATATGACAATACCTCCCTTCGGCATTGGTTCCGTGACAGGGCGCTGTAATCGCGTCTGACAACACTGGCGGGCATTGGCGTCGGGCCATTCAAGCGACCGGGTATCCTGCGTCAGCCAGCCGGCCGTCACCTGTGTGCTGACCGGAAGGCATCTGCACTGGAGCGTGAAGGGGGTTCACGCTCCCGTGCAGTTGTCCAGTTGTCCAATCGGCCGCTCGCTCGGGAGCCGCTGTCCGCCGCTTGACCCCGCGCGGGCGCGCCGGCGCCGCAGGCATCGCACACCGGCACGGTGCCCTGGCTGCTCACCGCCTCTGGCGGACTGGTCAAGCGGTGTCGGTAGGACTGATGGCGGACAGGTCAAGCGGTGTCGGTAGGACTGACGGTGGACAGGTCAAGCGGTGTCGCTAGGACTGTCCCTCCGCCCCCTTCCGGCCAAAGGGAAGTCTTCGGCCACGTTTCTCTGGGATGGAGGATCGCGCTGTAATGCCGTTGCCGCTGCATGTCGGCGCTGTATGGAATTGTGTACCCTGTGAGTCGGGTGGTACGCGGCCTCGCTGCACCGCGCCAACAGCGCTGCTGGAACACCGCTTCGGCGGGTGTCATAGAAGGAAAGCCGCACATTCGGCGACCAAGAGCACCATATCTCTGTTGCCTACACCACGGCCCCCGCAGGGGCACCGGCTTCGGTCGGTGTAGGGGACTAGCGCCCCCTCGGGTCCCAGCTCCGGTAACGGGTGGACAGCGCAAGCTGGTCCTCTCAGGGCGTAGCGACCCTGCCGGTACGTGAGCTCCTGCTCCTTGTCCCGCTCGCTCCCTCCACATTACCCGCACTCCCGCATCCGGCCCTATCACCACTCCCCATCCTTGTTTTATTGGGGTCGCCGTGCCCCCTCGCCCATGTCCCCGGGTTGATCGGATCCTGGTGGCTGAGGGGCGCGTCGTGCGGGTCAGTCACGGCGCGCCCCAACACTCCACTTTGGCCAGGATATCCGGGGGCGTGGGGGGCCCGTGGGGCCCCACACGGGTCTAGCGGCTTGTCGCTCGCGTTGCGGTTGGGTGCCCCTTGCGGGTCTCCGCTTGGGGCGCCTGGCCGCGCGCAGCGGCTTAAGGGGTCAAGGGGCGGCGGCGCTGAACCACGGTCAGGACGGGGAGGGGTCTCCCCGGTTACACCTGGCCGTGTGGGAGGCGTCGTCCGCCCCGTATAGCACCGAGGTAGCCCTGGCGGCACCACCACCAACTGGTGAGTGGGCCGTCCCCCAGTTGGGCTCCGAGGTGGGTGGGGAGCCCCGGTGCCGAAATAAAGAACAACCTTGCATGGCATCTACAAACCCAAAAAACTCCCGCCCCCCGAGAGGGGGACGGACTGCGATGAATTTAGGGTGCAGCGAGGGTTCCAGTTTTAGGGTTCCACCTGCCCCACGCGTTCTTGTCTTCCGGAGTGATGTGAAGAACCTGGCATCGCTTTCACCGTTTCAGCGCCGAAACGGATGCGTCAGGTTGGGAAAAGTCACCCGCTGTGACAAGCTGAGGGACGGCGCGATCGAAGTGGAGTTCGCAAACGGCACCGATGCGACTCGAGCTCTGACTGTTACTGAATTTGTATATGCCGCGAGAACCGAGAGTGCAAAGCGAGACGTGAGCGTGCCAGTCACAGTCACACCGCACCACACCAAAAATTTCTCAAAAGGTGTCATAAACTGCTATGACCTTCGTGACGTCAGCGAGGAGGAAATCATCGAAGAGTTGGGAACTTTCGGGGTCACGGCAGCACGTAGGATCACGACCAGGAGGGGTGATGACCAAATCCCTACAAACAACATTATACTGACATTCAACAGGCCTGATTTACCGTCTGATATCCGCATTGGCTACGCAGTTGTCAAAGTCAGGGTCTTCGTTCCGAATCCGATGCGATGTTTTCAATGTCAGCGCTTTGGTCATACGAAACCACACTGCCGCAATCGAGCTGTCTGTGGGAAGTGTGCATCTTCCGAGCATGCGGGAGACCAGTGTACCTCTGTGCAGCCCTGGTGCGTGAACTGTGGCACGGGGCAGGTACCGCACACAACTTTCGACCGAAGTTGTCCAGCCTTCATGAAGGAAAAGGAAATTATATCACTCAAAACTTCAAAGAACATTTCTTTCCGCGAGGCGCGTGAACAGTATGAGGCTAATCACCCCAAGATATCCTATGCCGAAAAATCCAAAACCTCTGTACCACAGTCCACCAGCATCAGTCACATGTCAGCGGTCCAGCTCATCACGCTCCTGCGATCCTTCGGTTTGTCTGTGGTGCCGGCGGGGCGGGCGACCCCCGCCCAGTCGGATCCTCCTGGTCCTTCAGTTGCGTCCTGCTCCACCAACGCTGTGCCGCCGGACCTTCATGTGTCGTCGGGGTCGCAGGCGGGGGAGGAGGAGGGATGGACAGTGGTCAAGCGCGGCCATGGTCCGCGGGCTCGGCCTTCCTCACCGTCTGTCACTCCGCTGCCCTCGTCGCCTCCGGCGACGCTGGCGAGTGTGTGTGGACGAGCAGCGGAAACGATGGAACGGCAGGAGGCGGACAGGCGCGCCCGCGACGCCAAGCGGGCCCGCCTAGCGGAGTTGGAGAGGGCTAAGACGGCCAATCGCTCGTCCGTTGCAAGCAAGGAGCCCACCCCTCGCAGTGGCACACCATCGCCGAAAAGGCCAGTGGAGGCCCCCGCTGACCCCCAGACGCCCGGTAGAGGCCCGCCGATGGGCCCTCCCCCGCCGCCACCCCGGACCGGGTACGCTGGCGTCAAGCGTGCCCCGGCCGGTCCCCCGTCTCCATCTGACGGCGGGAGTCCCAGAACTCGTCCCAGAGTGGGGCACCTCCCTGCAGATTCCAACCGTGGCTCTCAGTCAGAAAAGTCTGCCCCTGCAACTGGCGCAGCCCAGTTCTTTTAGGACGTGTCCGGTTTTAGTATGTGACCTCCAACCGGGTTTTTAACATGCCCCCTTTACAGGCCTTTTTACAGTGGAACTGTAGAGGAATAAGGGCGAATGCCCTCGACCTCCAGGCTGTCGTCAGCAAGCACTGTCCTGCAGCCGTAGCGCTGCAGGAGACCAAACTTGCTTCTAGTCACAACTGCACGCTGAAGGGATACGCCCTGTTTCGCAATGATGTGTTAACCGACGGTATCGCACATGGCGGTGTCCTTGCAGTCCACCACAGCGTGCCAGCCAGGAGGTTTAACCTGCGGTCTACGCTACAGGCTGTAGCCGCACGCCTACATTTTAATCACCGTCACATCACGGTGTGTTCTTTATATCTTCCACCTGACGTCGGTTTTCCATTGGAAGACATGAGACGTTTAGTGCATGAGTTGCCTCCACCATGTCTTCTTTTAGGCGACTTCAACGCTCATCACACCGCGTGGGGCTGTGATAGCACGAACACCCGCGGAAGGATGTGCGAACATTTTATCCGTGACTCGTCACTGTGTATTTTAAACACAGGGACTCGTACTCATTTTACACTGCCGTCTGGTCAGACTTCCGCGCTTGACCTGAGTCTTTCTAGTCCAGAGCTGGTGGAGAGCCTCGAGTGGTCTGTGGCAGATGATCCAATGGGCAGCGATCACTTCCCAGTGTGGCTTCGATTCCAAATAAGAGGAACGTTGGGTGTAAGACCACGACGTTGGAATTTAAAAAAGGCTGACTGGAGAGAGTTTGAGGCTCGACTGGAGACATTATGTCAGACCGGAGGTGTGAGGGTGGCACCCTCTATTGAGGATTTTACTCACAGACTTCTAGATTGCGCTAGCGATTACATCCCGCGCACTTCTGGATTTCCTCGTCGCACTCCTGTGCCGTGGTGGACGGAGAAGTGTCGTGACGCAATTCGCGCACGCAAACGTGCTTTCCGAGCTTTTGACGCCAGAAGTAGCTTGGAGAATTTAGTAGCCTTTAAGAAAGCCAGGGCTTTCGCCCGCCGTACGATAAAAGAAGCGAAACGTGAATCCTGGCGTATGTACACAAGCACGCTCAACCGATTCACACCAACTTCGCAGGTGTGGGCTCGGATCAAACGTATCTCCGGGCAGTTTTCATCCGTGCCACTTCCTGTGTTACATGTTAACGGCCAGGTGGTGACTCATCCGTTGGATGTGGCTAACGGGATCGCCCGAGCACTCTCCCACCGTAGCGAAGGTGCAAACATGAGCCCACAGTTTTTACGGCAAAGAGCACAATCCGAAAAAAACCGTAGTGAACTTTTCTACAAGGCAGCCACAGGCGTACAATGAGCCCTTCACTTTGGTGGAGTTGGAGTCGGCAATCGGAAGACTTCGTAGTGTATCGGAAGGTCCATCCACAATGAGATGCTCCGACATCTGCCTCCGTGTGCACGTCGTGCACTATTGGCGGCCTTCAATAGGGTGTGGTCAAGAGGTGAGTTCCCTCCGGCCTGGCGGGAAGCTGTTGTGGTGCCTATCCTAAAACAGGGAAAGAGTGGGCTGGACCCTCTTCATTACCGACCCATTTCACTGACGTCATCACTGTCCAAGCTCATGGAAAAGATGGTAAACGTGCGACTCACTTGGTTTTTAGAGAACAACGATATTTTTAGTAACTCGCAGTGCGGATTTAGGAAAAACCGTAGTACGGTGGACCATCTCTTAACACTGGACACCACGGTTCGCAAGTCTTTTCAAGAAAAACGCATATGGGGACAGTATTCTTCGACATTGAAGCCGCCTATGACACCACATGGCGCCATGGTATTTAATGTGGTATTGGTATTTAAATATGGTATACGTGGCCATATGGGTGCTTTTCTCCAAAGGTTTTTAGCCAAACGATACTTCCGTGTTCGGGTCGGCAACGTCCTCTCCGACAGGTACGAACAAATAAACGGCGTGCCCCAGGGCGGCGTGTTAAGTGTTGCACTGTTCGCAGTTATGATAAATGATATTTGTGATGTGCTCCCACAGTCGGTCGGACGTGCCCTTTTTGTTGACGATTTTACTATTTGGACCAGTGCAGCGAGAGCACCAGCGATGGAGCGGCGTCTCCAGCTGGCTGTGGACCGCGTTGAAAGATGGGGTGACATGAATGGGTTTCGTTTTTCAGGCGACAAGACCGTTGCGATGCATTTTTGTCGTCGCCAGCGATGTGATGATCTGAGCATCCGTCTATATGGTCGCTCTATTCCAAATAAGGCCGTGGCCAGGTATCTTGGGATACACTTTGACCGCCGCCTTACATATAACGCACATCTTAAAATGTTACGCGATCGATGCTTTAAATCTCTCAACATACTAAAGTGTGTGTCTCGCACATCGTATGGGGCAGACAGAAGCACGCTTATGCTTTTA